CAGCACTACAAGTAGCAGAAACTTACATTATCGATAACCCAGGCCAGATTTCATATGAAGACTCAATAGCAAACGCGAGAGCTGAATTGGGCGCTTGGAATTCATGGAAACAAAAGGAATGCAACTAAGAGCAAGAATTAGAGAATGGGAGGAAGGAGAAAAAATGACGAAGTATTTTTTCCAAAAAATCATAGCAAGAGGAAAAAACTTCGCCATTCACCAACTCAGAGGAGAAGAGGGCCCTACCACAGAGCTAAGGAAAATGCTCGCAATAGCAAAATCCTTTTACAAAAACCTCTACACCTCTAAAACGGTACAACCCACTCCAGAGCCACTGGCACAAGCAAGATAATTTTTTGAAACACTTGGCCAAAACAATCCCCACAACTGTAGCAGAAGAACTAGATGCACCCATTACGAATGAAGAAATTAAAAGAGCATTGGACTCAATGAAATCGGGAAAGACCCCTGGGCGGGATAGACTGTCGAAAGAATTATAGCAAAAGTATTGGGAACTCTTAGGAGATGAGTATTGCAGGTTTATAAGATCAGCATGGGCTACGGATGGTTTAGGAAAGTATCTAAGTACTGGAATAGTCACTCTACTATACAAGAAAGGAAACCCCACTGATATAAAAAATTACCGATCTATCACACTACTAACAGTAGCTTACAAGATCCTAGCCAAGCTTCTAGCAAACAAAATAGGCAAGATCACCAAAAACTGCTTCCACATAGACCAAACAGTCTTCATCCCGGGCAGATTCGTATTAGACAACGTCATGACACTAGCGGAATCAGTAAGATACATGAAAGATAAGAAACAGAATGCAGCAACGTCATGACACTTGCGGAATCAGTAAGATACATGAAAGATAAGAAACAGAATGCAGCAATCCTCTTCTTTGACTTTGGGAAAGCCTATAACCAGGTAAACTGGGATTTCCTCCAACAATGTAAGGGAAAGATGGGAGTGGGACCAAACTTCAGAAAATGGGTCAGGATTCTATACAACGATGCACACGGGGCAGTTCAAGTAAATGGACACATATCAGATCTATACAAGATGTCTAGATCTGTAAGGCAAGGAGACCCATTAGCAACCCCTATATCCCTATTCAGCATGGAGGCAATAACATCCTTCCTTAGGAAAGACCCGTTCATACAAAGACTCATAAACTCGTTTGAGGACCTCAATAGAACACACCATATACCCCCTACCATCATGTTCGCAGACGACTTGACTGTACTCATAAGAGCTTCCAACTCATCCTTTGAAGCTCTCACCAGAGCAATGCATGTATATCAACTGGCCTCCGAAATGCGAATTAACTGGCAAAAAACAGTGGGATGGTGGCTAACGGACGAAAGTATAGATCACCCTCAGAACACCCCCAATGGTATGACTTGGTCTGACCCTAGGGACCTGTTGAGAGTACTAGGGATCCAAATGACAAAACATGGAGCAGAGACAGAAATGTCCCCAAGCCCTTTAGCCAAGATGACAATACACACCTCATTATACGGAAGAGCAATAATATTAAACTCGTCCATTTTCACCATGATGTGGTATGTAGCAGCCTTCTGGACTACGGACCATTTGACGATAAGGAACCTAAAAAGGAAAGCCACAGCCTACCTGTGGACAGGAGATGCATCCAGACAACAATTAATAACGAAAGTTGCTTGGCAGTACGTCATTAGAAAAAAAAGCCAGGGAGGACTGGCAGTCCTCGACCCATAGCCCAAATAAAAGCTTTTCATACCAAATGGATCCTGAAACTCATCACAAGACCCGGCTTGCCATGGAGAACATTAGCCCTAGACATACTATAACAACTACCGTTATATAACACCCCAATCAACATGGAAGGTTCCTTCTAGGTAATGAGCAAATCATGGTCAATGAATGGTGGAAATCAGACCTCAATACACCCAAGATTGACATTTTGGAAAGGGATCCTTCACGATTGGAGAGAGATTTTCCCAGCCAAGGTCAGGGAACCAAACAACAAGGAGGAAGGACTAAGACGGCCCCTATTCTGCAACCAACGCATAACAAAGGCAGACGGAAGCCCATTCATGCTCACCTGAAAGGGCACAAAATGGGGAGTTTGGCTAGAAAAAGGAATATGGCAGATCAAGCACATCTGAGATGACAACACGAAGGAATGGAAACAAGACAAACAACTCAGACAACACCTCAAAGGCTGTCACTGAGTAAACCTAAACCTGTAGGAAATCACAGCAGCCATCCCAAAAAAATGGCTCCCAACACTAAAAAAAGACAAACAGTGGGCCATAGGAGACTGGGCAGTAATACCAAACGAAACTCAACGCAAACACGCATTGGCATATTGGGCCAGAGAGGAAAACAAACAAAATTGGTATATATTTACCATGCATGAAATAGAAGAACCCGGATCCGACCACTGCAAGATCAGCAAAACCCCAACAGCACGAGTTTCTGTCCGCGAGGATAACCTAAGAAAGATAAGAGTAATAGAAAATGAAGACCTAACCATCTACCTCCCTCAAACCCGAGGTAGACCCAACAGAATGGGCATTGAACCAAAAGCAAGGAACTTCAGGAATTCACACCAAATTAACTTACTACAATATTCAACCAGGCTAGGCTACAAGCTGAGACGCTGCTCTACAAACCCAGATCCAATAATAGTGGAACGTTGGAAAAGACACCTTGAAGTAGAACAAGAAACATTCCACTCAATACCCTGGGACAGAATAGCGTCTACCCACCCACCCAAATTTAGAAGCCTACAATGGCTAATTCTTTACCTAGCAGTCCCGTTGAACCAATGGCTAAATGTGAGAAGGAAAAAGGAAGATAGAAGCCCGCTAAAGAACTGAGTGCTAATTGCAACAACGGTCAAATAGAGAACTTATACCACTGCTTTCTCATGTGTCCAAGAATAAAACCACTATGGCAAAAGATAGCAAATATATGGAATACACTAAAAGACACAACCCTCCCAAACAACAACACATTGCTACTCCTAGGATTTGATACCCCAGAACACTATTATACCGTGTCAAACGTGGGGACGCAGCCATTCGGGTAGCATGCTTTACGTTCTAGACAGTAAGCTTGGCAAAGGTCTTCTGAAGTGGGGGATGGGCAGCCTTCTACATGGTAGTGTCCAAAGCCGACACTCTCCCACACACCACACGCAACCCACTCACACGCGCACTCACACCCGTGTTGGCTGAAGACCTTACTGGTACCGACTGGGAGGATCCAACTCACTATCTCAGTTGGATGGCACCAAGAGTGCCACAGGCAGCCGTGGGGATTGAACCCACAACCTCCTGAATGCCACTTGCGTGCCTAACCAATTGAGCTGGGACGCTGGATGGAGCCCAGATTCTTCTATCGCAGCAAAAAAAAAGAAAAGAAAAAAAACTGAAAAACGAATAGCAAACTACTGAGGGCTATGCCACCCCACACACGGCCAGGAAAAAGGGCATTTCAACCTCTAAACTACTAGCAGTGTATCTACCTATTTTCTACTAGACGATTCATGCTCATGTTCCACATTTGGTCAGTAGTGGAGCAAGGCCCTCGATCTCCACAGCTCTCGGCGCAAAGGTAAGTGCGTTTTTTCTTCTTTTTTTTTCCGAAAGTCAATACGTTTTTTTTTCTTCTTTTCTTTTCTTAGTAAGCCCTGCCAACGAGGCAGGGCAGTCGGGAAGTCCGTTCTAGATTTCGTTACTTGGGCGTAGTAAACAGCAGAATGCTTCGATACTGTATTTCCGGGAAGATGCAGTAGAAGAGAAAAAAAAACAAAAGCCAAATCGCCAGCCTAGACCCATATCGCCCGCCCCTAGTTTGCAACGGGAAAAAACTCTATCCATCAAAAGGGAAACAATGGACGGCGCCCTATACTAAGTTGCAACGACCTTGACAAGATAATGTTGCATACTGTAACGTGCAGACCAGAACAAGAACCGACCTTTCAATACAAAGTATAAGATAGCACAACGGAAGACTTAGATACCAGTGATCCGAGCAATCCATGTTGAAATGCAGCCCTGAACATACATCATCATCATCGTTACATGGTGTGAAATGGGCCTGGCGTTTCACACAGGAAGACTGCGCCAGCCCATACCATACACAGACGAAGAGGAAGGGGATAGACGAAGAGGAGGGGGAAGATGGGAATGTCGTCAACACCAAGTCTTCGGCACAAGCCCAAATAGTCCCTCGTCGAAATGTCTGAATCCCAAATGTCAAGTCTGGATCCAATGTCRTCAAGTCTCAAGTCACAACTCAGTCTCTCTCTGTCGTAGTCTGAGAAGTCAGGTGGCGAGAGGGTGAGAAGAGAAGGTGGACTTAGAAGAGGAAGAAGAAGAACTCTCTCTCTCTCTGTGTCCAGTACTAACCAGTGAAGTTGGCGCCCTGATGCAGGTACCACGAAGATGGAGCTGGAGCGATGGCGCCACAGGTAAGTATCACTGGCCTCCGCCAGTCTCTCTCCCACTCTACGATCTACCACCTACCAGCGCCCAGCGCTGAAGACTACAGCTATGGCGCCCAGCGCCGAAGACTACAGCTAGCGCTACCACTACTGCCTAGCGCTGAAGACTACTGCAGCGCTCCTCCTGAGTGCTGCGGCCGAAATCCTGAAGACTACCACTGCCTACTGACACTACCTACCCGTGAAATGCATGGGAACTTCCTATGTACTACGGGTGTGCCTCCTGAGCCTGCCGAAGGGAGGCAGGGGCTGCAGCTGCAGCTCCTGCTCGAGTACGTGAGGAATAGGCTATTTTGGGCCTGTTCCGCATCCCTGTTTACGTGCCTGAGTCTTAGGAGCAGGTCGAAACAATGAGGGCCTGAAAATGGCCCTCCGTTTCAGGCTGAAAACTCTGGGTCTGAAAAGACCCAGAAATAGGTTGAAACGGAGTAGGGCCTGCAGGCCCTCGTTTTTCAGCTTCCAGGCTGAAACGAACGGGGCCTGTAAGCCCTAAGTTTTAGGCTTTTAAGCTGAATGTCCGGGACGGGCCCTGCACGGCCCGTGTGGCTACGCAATATGCCACACCCCCCCCTCCTTGAAGAACGAGCTTACCTGCGAGGGCGAAGCTGTCTGTCTGAGGGAGGGACCACAGTCCGGGTGGGAGGGGAGAAAACGCGCGTACTTACTCAATCGGTCCWCAACCGTGAGGATGCCGTCGTGCCCGAGCCGGTCGCGAGGAAACGGACCGGTGACGTCCATGGCAATAGAGAGACCGGGTTCCCGTGGGATAGGCATCAGGTGTAACTCGCCGTAGGGATTGCGGTTGCGGGGCTTGCTGCGTCGGCAAACTTCGCAAGAGTCGCAATACCGAGTGACATCGGTAATGAGGTCGGGCCATCGGAAACACTGCCGAAGCTGTGCAATAATGCGATTGACTCCGAAATGGCCGGTGAGTCGTGAATCATGATACTCGCCGAGGAGGCGAGTCCGAAGAAGACGGTCGCGTGGGACACATAGTAAGTCCTTGCCTCTCGAGTGGAGGAGCAAGTACCCGTCGGCAATGCGGAAATGGCTGGCCGGCGGGTGATCCGAAGATAGCTGTGCATAGAGCGTGCCGAAGTCCGGATCAGACTGATATGCTCGGATGAAGTGTCGCTGAAGCTCCTCGTCGAATGCGAAGGCATGATGTGTCATAGCGCAAAGATCTGGTCTTCGCGAGAGTGCATCTGCTGCACGATTAGAGAGGCCGGGGACATGTTTCGGTGTGAAGTCAAATTGGTCGATGAAGTACATCCATCGTCCGATCGTGCTGCTCACCGTATCCTGCGTCTTGTAGTAAGTCAATGGATTGTTGTCCGTGACCCATGTGAACCTACGACGCCCAAGGAGGAAGTGCCGCCATCGCTTGAGAGTCGTGGCGAATGCGAGCAGCTCCTTCTTCCTTGCATCATCAAGCGAGTTGATGGGAGGCACTTGGTGGCTAAAATACTCCACAGGGTGCCAGTCGTCGTCGTCGTGCTGTTCCAAGACTGCCCCAATGCCATAGCCGGAAGCGTCCGTAGTCACTCGCGTCGGCAGGGTGAGGTCATAGATGCTAAGGACGGGTGCCATGAGCATAGCCGTCTTAAGTGCTTGGAATGACCGGCGTGCGTCGTCATCGAATACGAATGGCACCTTTGGCGACTGTAACCTCGTCATAGGTGCAGCAATC